GGCTGAGGCTCATCGAATGCTCTCAAATACTTATGGTGAGGCCGCTATTAGTGAAAGAACGTGTCGTGAGTGGTTTCAACGCTTCAAGAACGGTGATTTTGACGTCGAAGACCGGCATAGCGGTGGAAGAGAGAAGGTTTTCGAAGATGCAGAATTGGAGGCATTACTTGATCAAGACTCGTGTCAAAATCGAGAAGAATTGGCACGATCATTGGGAGTGACTCAACAAGCCATTTCAAAACGTCTCAAACCCATGGGAATGATTTAGAAGCAAAGAAATTGGGTGCCGTACGAATTGAAGACGAGAGATGTTAAACAGCGTTCGTTTGCTTGTGAACAGCTGCTTGAAAGACAAAGATGGAAGGGATTTCTGTATCGCATTGTGACTGGGGACGAAAAATGGGTTCATTACGATAACCCCAAGCGCAGAAAATCATGGGGAGTTCCCGGCCATGCTTCCACGTCGACGGACTAACCGAATATTCACGGCTCCAAGGTCATGCTCTGTATTTGGTGGGACCAGCTCGGCGTAGTATATTATGAGCTGTTAAAACCGACTGAAACAATCACAGGCGATCGGTATCGAACGCAATTGATGCGTTTGAGCCAAGCATTGAAAGACAAACGGCCGCAATACAACGAGAGACACGATAAAGTGATTTTGCAGCATGACAATACTCGACCCCATGTTGCGAAAGTGGTCAAGACATATTTGGGAACGTTGAAATGGGAAGTCCTACCCCTCCCGCCGTATTCTCCAGACGTTGCTCCCTTTGACTATCACTTGTTTCGATCAATGGCACACGGCCTGGCTGACCAGCACTTCCGGTCTTATGAAGAAGTAAAAATTTGGATCGATTCGTGGATCGCCTCAAAGGATGACCAGTTTTTTCGACGTGGGATTCGTACGCTGCCCGAAAGATAGGAGAAAGTAGTAGCCAGAGATGGACAATACTTTGAATCATAAATTTATAACCAGATTTTACAATAAAGTCTCGAATTTCGGAAAAAAACGGAAGCAAAGTTGTATACTTAATATGATACACTTTTCCCAACGTCCCTGCGATTTCTTTAACCTCTCCAAGAAATACGATTTGTCAAACTCTTCAAAATGGGCTTCTGTCTCGACGATGACCTCCTCGTTTGAGCTGATTTTTTTTTCCCGCGAGCCACGTTTTCACGTTGAGGAACAGAAATAAATCGCAGAGGGCTAGGTCGGGCGAGTACAGATACGGCAGCAATTCGTAACGCAATTCATGCAATTTGGCTGCGACGATTTCGCATGAGTGTGCTGGTGCGTTGTCGTTGTGAAACAGCATTTTTTTCTTTGCCAAATGGGGCCGTGTCTCCTTCAATTTTTCGTCGAATCGGTCCAATAATTCACTGTAGTACTGCTCCGTGATCGTGCTTTTTTCTCCAAAAAATTCACGAGGATTATTGTCTTCGAATCCCAAAAAATCGTGGCCATGACCTTTCCGTTTTTGCCTTCTTCGGAGCAGATTCGTCCGGAAAAGTCCATTGTTTTGACTGTTACTTGATCTCTGGCGTATAGTGATAGATCCAGGTTTTATCAACGATGACGATTCGACGCAAAAACTCCTGCGGATTTCGTTTAAAAAAGTCCAAACACTGCTTCGAAATTGACAGCCGTATCCGCTTGTTGTCCACCGTGAGAAATCGCTGCACCCATCGGGCTGACAGCTTTCTCATTCTTAACTTATCATGTAAAATATTGATTGCGGTTCCGTACGACATGCCTACGATCTCTGCTATTTTGCGCACTTTCGTTCGAGAATCAGCGAGAATCGTGTCATGGACCTTTTCAATGATTTTCTCCACGTCTGCCGGGCGCTCCTCATCAAAAACAGATATACGACCATGTTTGAATTCGTTAAACCAATATCTCATAGTTGTCATATGTTAAATCATTACGTTAAATCAAGTAGAGTTAATTCCATTGGAGTTGAAAAATATCATAGGCACAACCATTTAGTAACTACATAGTTCATGACAATTCAATACTGCCTCATATTACCATGAATTGAGTTGAGTTAGCGTAAATTAAGGCAAAAAAAAAACGTAAATGTATGTGGGAGCGGTGCACTTGGATACGGTGCATTTGGACACAGCCAATCACAGCACCGTATGATTAGAGACATTTGTAGGGTCCCTTGGAACAGCGACTTGTGATTGGACTGTGTCCAATTGCCCCGTGTCCAACTGATATACACCCAATGTCATGAAAGGTTATTAGTCTTACATTTACGTTTTTCTATGCCTTACTTTACTACGATGCCTACGACTCGTTCTCTGCCTTAGCCCTTAGCCCTTAGCGGTAACCAGCAGTAACATCAAGGATACTATACGAGGTACATATTTCGTAAAATTTTACGAAGTGTGTAAGACACAATATATTTTTACTAATCTATATAAAACTTACATATACATTACATGTGATGTTATGTAAATATTAGGTGGTAAACTTAGTTCCTGCGGCTCACAGTTTGATGACGTTAGTTGTAGGTGTAATTTATTTTGACATCTAAAACTGGCTGCATTTTAGAGGTTAGACATCTATCAATAAAATTCAGTGCGAAAAGATTCATTTAAGCGAGCAGTGCTATTTTTTCTTTTAATTAAATATGGAACGTGATAAGTTGTTTTGTCGACATGTGCTGCTTCATTACTTTGATTTGAAAAAAACTGCAGCTGCAGCTCATAAATTGCTTTTCAAAGCTTATGACAATTATGCTCCATCGGAAAGAACATGCCAAGTATGGTTTCAGCGATTTAAGAGTGGTGATTTTGATGTCAATGATAAAGAACGCTCAGGCCAACCGAAAAAGTTTGAAGACACCGATTTGCAGGCATTATTGGACGAAAACTCTACTCAAACGCTCCAAGAATTGTCTGCAGCATTAAATGTTACTCCGATGGCTGTTTCCAAACGTCTACATGCAATGGGAAAAATTCAAAAGGAGGGAAAATGGGTACCACACGAATTAACCGCAAATGCCATTGCGAATCGCTTAAACATCTCTATTTCTCTGCTCGCCAGGCAGAAAAAGAAGAGTTTTTTGTGGCGCATAGTGACTGGCGATGAAAAATGGATATACTTCGATAATCCTAAACGAAGAAAATCATGGGTAGACCCTGGCCAACCATCGACATCCACACCAAAGAGAAATATTCATGGCCACAAAGCAATGCTTTGCATTTGGTGGGATATGCACGGCGTCGTTTATTATGAGCTACTCAGACCGAACGAAAGTATCACGGGGGATCGATATCAATCACAATTAAACCGTCTGAATGAAGCATTGTTGGAAAAAAGGCCAGCAGTAGCCAGCAATCGACGTAAAGTCATGCTTTTGCACGACAACGCTCGACCACACGTTGCCAAAGCCGTCAAAGAAACACTGATGCAGCTCGAGTGGGAAGTTCTCCCGCACCCAGCGTATTCACCAGACTTAGCTCCTTCGGACTATTACTTGTTCCGGTCGATGCAGCACGGCTTGGTGGATACACACTTCAGAAATTACGAGGATGTGCGAAAATGGATCGACGAATGGATTGCATCAAAAGACCAATCGTTCTATCGTCGCGGAATCTACGCGTTGCCCGAAAGATGGGAAAAATGTATAGCTAGCAAGAGAAAATACTTCGATTAATGTATTTTTTGCTTTTGATGTCGAAATAAATGAGTTTTTTAAACAAAAAACCGCAGGAACTAAGTTTACCACCTAATATAAGTTTTATATAGATACATAAAAATATTATGTCTTACGCAATTCGTAAAATTTTGCGAAATACGAACCTCGTATAGTATCTACGATGTTATTGATGATTACCGCTAATTCAACTCAACTCATGGCAATATGAGACAGGATTGAGTTGTCACAAACTACGTAGTTACTAGATGGTTGTGCCTATGACATTTTTCGGCCCTAGTGGAATTAACTCTACTCGATTTAACGTAAACACCTATAGATGGTGAAGGGTCCCCATAGACAGCATCTAACTTCGCTTTTATTTCTTCGCACGTTTTTTTATCCAAAAATAAAAAGCGAATTACGGATCGATATTGCTTTTTTTCCATTATATCGAAAAACATCAAACTCGTTTAATACAAATCAAAATTAACCTATGAACACTGAAATATATACTACCTGGAAATATATTCTACCGCGCGCTACCTCTTGAGTATTGCGGGATGAGAGAGAGCATGCTTGTAGGTCTCGAACAGCGCTTTATCTAGTATAATCTGAACCAAAAGCTAAGTCGGCTGATTTCTAAACATAAGTTAAATCTCCCAATTTAAAACCATCTTTGCTTTATTTTTTTTAATAATAAGTCGATAAGTGAATACTGATAAATAAGAAAAAATATACATATTTTTTTTATATCTTAAACTTTCATTCATAAGCTTAAGTCATTGACATTTATTGGTCATTGCTTTTCATATTATTTCTAACTTTTTTTTCTAACTTGGATTGTATCACATTCTCCCCACTCTCGGCTATACTATGAGCCAGACAAGGATAAGATAGGAAACAAGGAACGTCTTTCTCATTCCCCACGCCTCAAGAGGCAGCGCGCATCCCAGGTAGTATATATTTCAGTCTATGAATCAGTCTGAAATTTTGTATGGCGTCGTTTGAAAGATGGTAGTACGCGATGATAATATTAACTTCCCTCAGCAACACCACCTGTCTTCAAACACGGGTATTAATTGATCTACCCTCGTAATTTGTTTCTATTAAATGCAATAAAATTACACTTGACTAAAAAATTTGGTAGATTTTTTTTGCTAATCCAATAGTTATGCAATTTCCAAAATCAGTTTTCTTAAAAACGAAGTCTGTTATAAAAACATTTTGTTCTATATCTGCGACTTGTTTTCGTTATAACATCATTTTCTTTCGCACCATAATTTTATCGATAAACCTGTGAATTTTTTAATAAAAATTGGAAGAATAAAATGAAATTTTTAAATGCAGAATAACGAGGATGTTGTTTACGCAGCAAAAATTGCACTGGATAAATATGGAGCTGGCTTGAGTTCTGTAAGATTCATATGTGGGACGCAGGAAATACATGTTGAATTAGAGAAGAAAATCTCTGTATTTCATGGTAGGGAAGATGCTATACTTTACGCATCTTGCTTCGATGCAAATGCTGGTATTTTTGAAGCTCTGTTAACTTCTGATGATGCAATATTAAGTGATGAGTTAAATCATGCATCTATCATCGACGGTATTCGATTGTGTAAAGCGAAGAAGTACAGGTATCTTACTGTTTAACTAGTATTTATATATGAACAAGTTTTCTAAGTTATAATATTTTATATCTCTTCTTATTTATAATTTCAAGATATAAGCACAGAAATATGGCGGATTTAGAAAATAAACTTCAGGAAAGCAGATCGGCACGTTTACGCCTCATTGCAAGTGATGGAGTATTTTCCATGGATGGTACTGTTGCACCATTGCCCAATATAATCGAACTTGCCGAAAAATATAATGCTATCACGTTCATAGACGATTGTCACGCTACTGGTTTTTTTGGTAAAACTGGCAGGTAATTCAAAAGACATACTTACAGTTATTTTATTTTAAACTATCATTATACGTATTATATCGCAATTTAATTTTAATTAATTTTATCCTAATTTAGAGGTACAGAGGAGTATTTTGATCGTCTAGGTAGTGTTGACATTATTAATTCTACATTAGGAAAAGCTCTTGGTGGAGCAGCAGGTGGTTATACTACTAGTAAGAAAGAAATTGTCAGTTTACTAAGACAAAGAAGTAGACCATATTTATTCTCAAATTCATTGCCTCCACCTGTAGTTGCTTCAGCGAGCAAGGTAGAATATTATGTTATATATACAATCAATAATCCCGATTGTTATAGAATTGTTAAATAAGATTGTTATATAAGAAAAATAACAAATTATTTTAAAATTAATATTTTAAATATTATCAATAGGTTATGGATCTTATAATGGACAATGCAACATATTTGAATCGTTTAGCAAACAATACTGAGTACTTCAGAAATACTATGATCAAAGCTGGTTTTACTATCAGCGGTGATAATCATCCTATTTGTCCTGTTATATTGGGTGATGCGAAATTAGCAACAAAATTTGCAGACAAAATGATTGGTATGTATATGTAAACATTCATACATTAGTATTAAGTACCTACACAATATTAAGACGTCTTAAAATATTTCTCATGTCTTAAAAAGTTATCAAAAAGACATTTTTATAACGTCTTTAAGACGTATTATGCGTCGATTTAAAACGTCATATAGACATTGTTTTGAGATGTTTTTTAGACGTTATTTTTTTATATTGTTTTGAGATGTTTTTTAGACATCCTAAAGACATTGTTTTAAGTCGTCTTAAAAACGTCTTGTTTAAGACTACTTTCCCAGTAAACAATCTGTGCGCAAACTAACGGCAGATTGGCGAAAGATTCGAGCTGGATCTGTCGACAGATCCATAGTCATCTGTGTCCGCAATGTACTGCAATTCTATCGACAAAACCTGCTAACAGAATCTATCCACAGATTGGCGGCAGATTGCGCGTAGATCTTGTCGTTTCGTAGATTCTTCAATTAAATCTTTGGTAGAAAATTTTCTCATAATTTTTCATAATTACTCATAGAATGAGCACTTTCTCATAAATATTCATAAATACTTGTAAAATACAAAGAAAAAAAAGTTTTTCTATATTATTTTTTCATAATTTTTAAAATTTTCTCTGGTGAGATTCGAACTTGAACTGAAGATATCTTTTGGATAATCGTCCGTCGCCTTAGACACTACGTCAATTCCTCACTTGATAAAAAGTGCTTTATATTGCTCACTAGGTTTAAGGAAGAAAAATCTTAGACTTTGTTCGTCTTTTAAACCGTAAAATATAGATAAAATCGTTTAGCGTATAAATAATGTAAGAGAGACCGGTATGATAATTCGGAATTATCTACCAAGAACTGTATAAAAAATTACTGCAATAAAACAACAGATAATGACATTTTTCCATCATGTTAATGAAATACTGTACTTTTACATGTGCGAATTAATTTGGTCGATCGTCCTGTTCAGATTGTATTAAGTTTTATCAAAATCGAATGATATAAATATTTCAAATAAATCATCACAAAAATTGTTGTTAAATGGTTTAGATTTAATGATATAATGACATTAAAAAAAATAATAATATGAAAAATTGTATAAAACATTATGAGAACAGGGTATATGTACGCTTTTAAATGGCCATTTAACTGTTGTACTATTCTATATCTGTACTCGTTATTATTTTGTATTGTTTATTTCTCTATTATTTTTGCTTTTTTATAAGAAATGTATAATATAATTTTAAAAAGTAAAAATTGTTTTTTATTGTGTATATGTGTTCAATTATTGCACAATATAATTATCTTAACTCCTCTCGGAGTTTTACATGAATTTACATGTGCATATGAAACTACTCCATTTAATAGCTCTTGATAGAATTATAGCTTATTTGCGAAACAGAATCTGCGTGCAGTCTGCCGCCAATCTGCCATCAAAGTTTGTCGGCAGGCTCTACGCGCAGTCTATCACCAATCTGTCGTCAGAGACTGATAAAACAGTTTCTGTGTGCAATCTGTTGCCATTCTGTCAACAGGCATTGTTGACAGACTGCACAAAATCTGTGCGCAGGTTTGGCTATCTGGGTTTAAACCTTTACATATATATGCTATTATAGACTTTTATAATTATATACACATTAAAAAGAGAAGATTTTATTTATTTTTATTTATATTTGTTGCAGTCGGTTGAAAATTATGATTAAACTGTGTATTCTTTCATCCATCTCGCTCAGGGTTAGGTATTGATAACAGCTAACGGATAATGATAATATTTGCATATCATATATTTTAAATTTTAAAATATGTGCTACCTAATAGTAACATTTGGTAGTACATCCTGCTAAACAATATTTTGTTGTAAAAAACGTCTTTATATCATCGTAATATCGCCGTGTGACATTTTACGTTCTGTTGCATAAACATTTTGGTAAAGTTTTAGAAACCAGAAATATCCTGATTCATCTTATACAGTACTCTCTCGATAACTCTCCTCTCGATAACTCTCCGCACAAGCTATTTTCTCTTTATACGTATGCTTACTAATACTAAGGACCAGCGCACGAACATTGCCGTAGTGACCCTCTAATCAGAGTCGCGCAATTACGCGATTAAAAGATTAGGTCAGCGACGCCATGTTTAGGCTAAAACCGGAAGCGGGAACTTTAATGTGCAAAATATGTTATTTGAAATAATAACTATAAATGTGTGATATGGATAAATAACATTTATTTTTTCTTATGTACTGCATCGCCATAGTTTTACTATCATAATATTTTTTTAGTTTTTTTATTTTTTTACATGCAATCTTGCACCTATATACAGCATATCTATTAAAAATTTTGTTCTTAAAATTGTGACAATCGGGTATAAAAGTGTACATATGCACTGTACATATTTAGTAAACAATTTTTGCAATAGTGTTGTAATATTCTTGGTTACGTGAAATGTTATTTATCTTTGGCATTGTCGAAATATATGCTCCATTTGTAGGAACATGTAAAATGTCGCTGTATTAACACGGAACAAAGAATTCTTATAATAACATCGAATCCGTACGAATTTCGAATAATTCAGCGCTTCTCCTTTAATATTGCACACTGAACAAATGCATATTTTACATAATACAGTGTTTTTAGATAAGCTACGAATTATTGGGAGCGTGAATAAGTTCTCGCCGTTTTTTGTGAAAATAAATCCTTTATTTAAAAAAAATAATAAAAAAACAAGTCAATTAAAGTATTGCTCATCGCTGGAGACTACTTTTTCCCATCTTTCTGGCAGCATTTGAATTCCACGTCGAAAAAACAACACTTCTTTTGCGGCTATCCATGAATCGATCCATTTTTTCGTTTCTTCATACGAAGTGAAGTGCTGCTCAGCCAGGCCGTTAGTCATCGATCGAAATAAATAGTAATCAGAAGGCGCAATGTCTGGAGAGTACAGCGGGTGGGGTAGGACTTCCCATTTCAGCGTTTCCAGGTATGTTTTGACCGGTGATACGACATGTGGCCGAGCGTTATCATGCAGCAAAATCACTTTATCGTGTTTTTGCTCATATTGCGGCCGTTTTTCTTTCAATGCTCGGCTCAAACGCATCAATTGTCGTCGATAGAGATCTCTTGTGATGGTTTGGTTGGGTTGGAGCAGCTCGTAATACACTACCCCCAGCTGATCCCACCAAATGCAGAGCATGAGCTTGGAACC